GATTCATGGTATTTCGTGGGCAGGATACTGTCAGGTTGCCCAGGCCTAGACAGGAGAAGGATTATGGTTCTCAACCAAAGCCACCATCCCCATCAACAATGATCAATGTATTACACTATTATCCACTTGACAGCTGTCTCTGACGATGCTCTCAGTACGTCCATCTAGCAGTAAATTGTTTAAATCATAAAAAGTAATTCTTCCTTTCACTTAAAAGGTATAGCAATTCTGAGTGCTCAATATTACATAGATAAAGTGTGTTCTAGATAAGAGGAAATAAGTGAATATGTATGATAAGCACTCACAACGATTTAAGTGACGGATCATGAATAAAAACTGTGCTAGATGTTAAAAGTCGTTAAGCTAAGGGTTTCTCTCCAACGATAGAAAATATAATGGTGTGCTTGGTCCATTTAATGGCATCCGGGTGTTAGGTCCTAGCTGTGTTCATAACGAAATGCATGACTACTATCCGTAAGTGGCGGTACAGCCTGTTTCGCTATGCCCCGTGTTTCACTGGCTTACTACTGATAAATACTAAAGTAGTAACGTAGGTATCTAAAGTTTACTACGAGGAAGAAGTGCCACAAGCCACCCCTGACCGTCAGGCAGTATTTCGCGCAATTCTCTTCTTCGCGAGTACGTCTATCACAAATCCATTTCATAAGATGTGGCACTGAACTCAAAACAGAGACTTTTGATTTCCTCATCCGTAAATAGTTGGACGGTTTCGTGTGCATTTGTTTCGTTTTCAGCCGAAAAGGGAAAAGAAAGCGTTTAAAATACCCAACGATAGGTTCATGAACTAGTGTTTCTATTTTCAGTGCTGTGAAAACATGAATGGGAAGACTGGACTATGAACGATAGAATCCAACCTGATCCCCTTCAAGAATTGGAACTTATCAATCAAAGTTTCCTTCATCGTAACAAATCGCATTTCTCCGGGCTCCCGACACAGCCGCGCAAGTAATGAATTTCGAATAATCGCTCGCAAGGGACGCAAACTCGCGTAACTGCGATCAACTGATCGCACTAGTGGGCAAAACGCTAACAATACTTCAGTAATCATCTCTCTCACAGCTTTCAGGAATTTCACCTACCAATACAGAAATACGGTGATTTGGAGTGCACACCACCACAACGAGACTGGACCTAACCGTAGTGCAGTTGTTTGCGTGCCTCAGTGATCAATTGAGCAACGCTAGGTGGTGCTTTTCGCACCTTCAGTCACTCATACTAGATTGGTCAATGGTTAGAGGCCAGACAAACTCAGACTCCTCGCCCTCCAGATTTGGGGCTGGAGTGAGGGTGTTCCCTTATACCTTGAAACGGATTACTTGTAGCTCGCTGCCAAACCGCTACATCGTGATCAAGTTTTTGAACAAAAGGCTTTGATTGAGAACCCTACTCGTTTTCCTGTTTAGGCATGGGCAATCTGACAGTATCCTGCCTCCGTAATACAATGCGGTACAATAGCTGGAGTGTTTTCTGCACCTCTAGCAAACGTGTATAATGATGATGGAGTGCACACCTACATCTTTATTAGATCCTAACCTGAGCCCTCCTTCCTTATAACGGGAAGTAAATTTCAAGCCGTAAAGTTAATTATCTGAAGTCGCCGCATAAGTGACACTTGTTATCCAAGTAATTGACACTGATGAGCGAAACTGAGGAGCCAGAAGCTAAAGGTACTCAACATAATTTCGTCGGAGCCGGTTGACAACAGGTCTGTAGTTTGGACTAGAAGAATAGAGTGTGGCGATTGTTAAGGCTAGATATCAGTCGGCCCCCAAACAGAAGGGTGTGCAGTGGTGTAACTAACATGCTGCGATCTGCATGGACCAGAAAATTGGCAGGTGGGTGGTGAAGTCATTCATATCCGAATTGTTGCCTACCATCACTTGGGCATGTTGTGACGATCCAGTGATTAATACCAGCGATCACCAGTTCGTATATAACAAAAAAGATGGTGCATTGCACTGTCAATTAGATTTGCGTCACTTACTCCGGTTACTTAGGGCTTCGCGTATGCATGTCAGCTGCTTACCTAGATGTCTAATGCCTGCTGTGTATTGTTGAGTGGATTGAAACGGTGAGATATATGAGAAGAAAGTCAACTAGGTTAGTGCGCTCCTGCTTCCTGAACAGTGATCGATAGCCACACCAGGTGTCAGACTTCTTCCCACGATCCATAGTAGAAAAGCCGGTAGCTATTCACATACGTTTACCATTTGATTCGACAATTATCAGTTTGTAAGAGAGTAGTTCGAAAAGTCAGACCGTGCAGATGGACGGATTTCATCACTAAACTCAACTGAACAAACATGACAAGTCCGAAAAAGGCCTGGACAGCCGCCGCACCTTTCCGGCATTCACCAGTGGTGCGTATTCCATCAGTCGAGTGTGAAACCACTGGCACAACTGACTAAGGGTGATGGCAACGACCAACATGGCTAAGCACCCGTGATGTGCAACTCATCCCCCCCCCCCCAAACAGTAGTAAATTACTGCTGTGCGAAGGTGAAAATCACCTCTCCCGAACAACAGCTTCCCAGATTTGAGCTGCAAAGTAGCCTACGGTAAAAGAATAGGTTCGGACAGAAAAAGAATTACAAGAGTGGGGAGTTGGATGGCTTGTACGGATGGAATTCACTGCAATTATTTTTTTCGGTTCTATTCACTACGAATTCTTATATGCTTGCAATTGCCGTTAGCTGTTAATCAGCATTATTGCTAAACATAGTGAACTCGTGTGAAGCACAGCACTCAAGAGCTAAGTCGTCATGACAATAGGTATCTACTCGGATGGGTACATTTTCAGCATATCACATATTATCGGAAATGCAGTTTCAAAAACGAATAAACAGAAGGGAGTGGGTCGCACCATTGTCACTTGAGTAAACGGCCCCGATTTCCCGAGCAGCAACGATCGCACACTGCTGGACAGAATCCTCAGAAATAGTATCCAATCGACAAGGCAGTTCAACCGAAATATTTCTTCATATTTGTTCTAATTGGCTTAAAATTTCGTGATCAAAAGCAACAAATCGCGAACCGTGCGCAGTTTCACAACCATTGTATACAAAATATAGAAAGTTTGATTACGGAAATCGTCAAGATATTGGTGGGTCATTTTGCAGTACTCGTGTGAATAGAATGCAACACGAAATTACAATGTAGACAGCGATTCACATAGAAGTGAACCTTGGTCAATGCAATCACCGAGATCATAGCGAAGCAGACGGGAATTAGGTTCCCTACCGGAAAAGAATCAACACCCAATTTCCATTTTCTTGCAAAAGTCATGTATCCACAGTAAACATAAAAATGAATTTCGTGAAAAAAGCAACAATCGATTAGAAGGCCTCACTGCTTCCCAGTCGTACCCAAAGTGCTAGTGTAACCAGAAGACATCTAACAAAGCGACAAGGTTGCCAGTGTCCAACCCAAAAACCTCACCGGTTTCTGAGAAGTGGCATACAATGAGAGGATTAGGAGAGCCCTTAAATCCCAAGATGAAGTGAATCACGCAATTCTCACTGTTTACCAGTATAGAGAGAAGTAATCGGCATACTGAACGCAGTCATTTTGTGAAGTAATACATTAACTGAAGGTTTCTACTGCGAGAAATTTAGTACATCCACGCTCCGGGAGACAGACATCGCACATGTGGGAAATTATTAGTCGGTAGTTTCAGTTTTTCGGGACGCGTCATCCCGTGGCCTTTCACCCTCAAGCCAGTGCTTGAGAATACACGACCAAACGGAATGTTGACAGCTTTCACGATTAAGGCGCCATTTGTGATATGCGAGTTTCCAAACTGCACAGGGCAGAACAAGACCCCAGCAAAACGAATTTCCCGACGAACCGCCATCGTCCAATTACCTTAAAAGCCATCTCGGGCAATTTATAATTTTAAAATTTCGAAAGAACGAAGTGGACTTATGCTGGTTTTACGAATCTGTAGGTTATTAGATTTCTAGGCCTCATATGCTCCACGGAGACCTCCTTAGTCCACCCGCGTTTCTGGCAGATCCCGTAAGCATTACCATCAATGCAATCTGGGAAGAAATAGCCGAAGTTAATACCACCACCCGGAACCGAGTAAGTGGGCGATCAGCCAGATGCGTGATTGGCGCTGATATACCAGATCTACACTGCGTTCGGTGCGGGTCTATGCGAGGTTACAATTCGCATGATGGTGAAATTTTGATTCCGATGGGTTTCGGAGGAGAGTGCTAAGCTCAGAGAGCCCCAGAATAGCAGATGCTATTGGGCTACCCAACGTCTGGTTACGCCTGACACGCGTATTTCACCAGGTGTGAAATGAGGATGTGCGTGCCGAAGAGTTGTGGGTCTGAACGAACACAATCAGGCAGCCAGCAGCATGGCTCCAGATCTTTTTCCATCGTAACTTAGCTGCTTCATTGGGGTTCGTGCGTCCAGGAGCGGACGATACAGTTGACTTGGCTTACTTTACTGAAAAATAGGTCAGATTGATAATAAATGGAATTCATTATGAACAGACAAGAAAAACTAAGAGAAGAGAGAGAAAGAATGCGAAAGCAGTATTCAGTTCACGATTCAGCGGTATCCGACAGAGTATCCAGCTACTGAAGTGACCAAGCACGAAAGGCACTCCATTCAGTGAGATTACTGGTGCCATTTCGCTAAGTAATTAAATGGCCATCTTTGATTTTCACCAAACTTGGCACAAATGTGAGGAGCAATGCGAGTCGATATAGCAAACTCTGGTATACAATGTACATGACTGAGTCAGCGAAGGCGATTTGAGTTGAACATGCAATTTAGTAGTATTCATCCCGTGTTCCTATCGAATATGGGCAGTGGTTCCATGCGATCGCGGATCGGACATAGCCAAGTCCGCATCTACCTTTTGTTACTCCGGATATGGTAAACGAGACTGTCGGCTGCGCAACGGAAACCTCCTGAAAGTTTGCGGATGTTCCTAATCACCAGCACAAAAGACAAGATTTTACAAAGGAAGTGATAGCTGTGTGAAGAAAGAGAACACATGTCAAGTGAAGAGGACAGTAATCAGTTATGAAGGTCTTCATTCATCAGCCAAGGTCCATTGTTCGATCCAGTGACTCGCAAGTGGATTGTAGTAGCTTCAAATCCTACGGGACGAACCGATTATCCAACTGAAATGTGTGATTGGAGGTGTTTTTAAAAAAAACTTGAAAAACCCGTTTCATACCTCTCAGGTATCTGCAAGATGATGACGCCGAGCAAATAACTAACAATGGTTCGGTCTGTCAACCTCCGACGGCCACCGATAGCTGTATTAAGGGAGTGTCCCGCAGAGCAATCTGGGCGCACACAAGTCCAGTGATGCGGTGATTAGAGGGTTGAGTTAGAGATCGTCAGGTAAACAATATGCAAGAATCTGCGAATGTTGAAAGCACATGAAATTTCAATAATAAAAATGTTTGGTTGCTCTTTGAGTGTGGTGAAAGCAGGCGTGGATAAAACAGCGGAAGAATGACTCCAGTTAAGAGGTTTTCATAAAAATACGCAAATTAAGCGAAGAAAAATGTGAAATAAGCTGCAGTATATAAAATCGTGCGAATGATATGCAAACCAGAAGAACCTCTGCATCAATGGAAAGACTGCGAATCAGTGAACAGTTTCTTGGCTTTTTGCATCAGTTCATTGAAGGTGTTCGTAACCACAGTGGAGTCTTTCAAGACCAGCTTTGCTTCGTTTTGAATCCACTGCCTTGCTTTGCGCGCAATCAACATCCACTCGTCCTTATTTTCGGACTCTTTGATTTCCAGATATGCTAAAGCCACGACGGTGGCCCACACCGCTTCGGATAAGTCCAAGTCAGTTGACGCGGACCCTGAAAAGCGGGAAAAATAATCAAATACGAGAGGAATAGAGAAATGAAAGAATTACGCAATACGTAGGTAAAGTATCAGAACGATCGAGGGGACTGACTGCAGATGAGCATATCAGGTGGATCCGAAGTATTTGCTACGAGTGTACATGCAGTCAACAGCTGTGGGTAGCTGATGAGTGATCATTCTTGAGACCGTAACGCAAAAAATACCAAGTGAACCTTGGATGGTAAAATAGTCCATGAAGGAAAGTTTACAACTGACTCGCGTAGTCGATAGTGTACGAAACCCAGTATCAATCGAAGGGAAGAAATGGAAGGATTTACTAAGATAAGACGACAGCCGCAGTAGTCGCGTTACGGCAGTCGCAATCAGTAGGAACGAGATCAAGAAGTGTTGAGATAAAGTACATATGCACACAAACATTAAACCTGAAACAACGGAGTACATGAAAGGTGCGGTATCAATCAACTGGTCTACTCTACACAAATGAACCAAGATTCACGCCTTTCGCATCAACGATTGCTGAGGAGAACACGCGGATGGTATATCGTATAATCATAACAAAAGCGCATGGATGAAAATACGTGCCAGTGCACAGCACAGGTCGAAAACACATTGTGAAGATGCTGTTAGGCGTACATTTTTCACAACGCGAATGTCACAGTTTAATGACACAAAAGCACGAAATACACGCGAAGACATTGGTAAAATGCTATCTAACTGTTAAGCGTGATATATAATGTGAAAGATGGCTGTGAACTATGTGTACAAAAGTGAGCTAAACAAAACACCTCAACGTGGTGATTGACTAAGGACACAACGGCGACCTTCAATACTTGCGATCAGCTCAAATCGGTACTCAAGAAAATGTAACAAATTTTTATATGCTTAGTTCATTGAAATTAGATTACAGGCAAGATGGGCCAATTACCAATCCGTTTCACTCTATTGGGGCTGGCCAGTGATGCGTATTCACTGCCAAGGCTAACCACAGTTCTTTGTATGTGCAGTATTCTGTATGGCAGTAGACGACGGATCGGCTACATCGCAATTACATTTGAATCCATGATGGTTAGCTATGGCCATCAGTGCTCAGTGACATATGCCGCTGGCTAGAGGTGCAAGCAGCTAACGGTCATTGATTAGGTTCCCTGAAGTGAGCTGAGGATGTGCACACCAGTCTTGAGCCGCAATAAGACCACTAAGTCGTTTGATGTTTTTCAAGATTGATAGTTCCCTTACTTGTAATCCAATTGCGTGAGCGGGTTACCCTGTCATCTGCATAGCAGTAGCGCGTAAGCGAGTGGATCGTGAGCGGCGCTATACCACATGTAGTAAGTTAGTGTCGGCGGTCGCTACCGTCTCCCGTGGCTCAGTGGTCGCAAACACAAACTGGCAACAGCCAAGTTGCAGGTTCGAACCGTAGAGGAGTCAGATGGAATGTGTCCCGCTGAAGTTCCCGAAAGGATGAAACGGTCGTACAGGGCTTTTCAGGGCGGGTGATGGCTGTCTGACTGAATCGATGTGCAGAGTTTCTATTTAACTAAGTCTTACCGAACCCATACACTCAGTGGTAGCCATGATTTTTGCCCAAAAACCCTTAGAAGAAATAGTGACAGCAGTAGAAACAAGTCGTTTTGTAATGCAAGGATCCCTCTCAGATAATGACCGGATTAATTAAATCGCAACACTTTACAGTAACCTACAAGCCGATTGTCATTCTAAGGAAACCTGTGTCAAGAGCAAATAGAAAGCAGGAATTTAAAAAAGGAAAGCAATTGGGAAAACACAATGTTGATAGTGAGACGAGAAACATGATGATGGAACAGGAGGAACTATCAAAGAAAGCACAAGTTTAGAAAGGCACGCGGATTCGGGCAGTTCAACTCAAACTGAGATACCAAATTTCCAGTTGCACTCAGGAAAGCCGCCAAAGCGCGAGATGATGTGACAGCAAGGAATGTGTTGATGGATAGGAGGACGCTAGACCAACTGTTAATATATGAGTTGATGTTGGGGACGTCAGTTGATATATTTTCAACACGTATGTCAAATAAGATGGGTAAAACTGTTATAAACACGATTCCAACAAGAATAGGAAAAGTAGTCGTAAATGAAATAGTCGGTGACAGTGATTAAGTCTATTCCACTCGGTCACTCGCTGCCTTCGTTATTATTATACATGTTTGAAAGAAGTGGGAAACCCCTCAGCTATGTGCCGCAACACACAAGAAAGGACAAAAAGACGCAACAGTGGCAGGCCAGCTGAGCCACCTGTAACGGATGAACATCGTTTCGGAGAGCTGCCAGCCGGCTATAGTGCCGCAAAACATAACTATATTTTAATTAAGTGAGGTTCTTCGCAGCCAGTTTCCAAATCAGATAGTCGTCCACATGCCCGGAAAAGCACTAGACTGCAGTTTCAGCCTGTTGGACATCATCAGTAGTGCGCATCCAACGGATCCGTCAGGATTCGAACCCATGACTACCAGCGGCTTGAACCGTCAGTCAGCAGCTTATGCCCCTGGGCCACGGGGGACAGCTTCGGACCGTCATGATTTACAAGCTGACTGTGATATAGCGCGTGCATCGGAATATACCTGCCCTGACAGTTTCTAAATGCTATGTCGTACATAGCTACTGTTAGTGGACGTGGTGTCTTTCGGGGCCAACCCTGTCCTCTGCAACGTTTGTAACTTGCATGACAGTGGAGGATAAGACGCGTTATATCACAGTCAGCTTGGAAATCATGACAGTCCGAAGCTATCCCCCGTGGCCCAGTGGCATAAGCTGCTGACTGGCGGTTCAAGCCGCTGGTGGTCATGGGTTCGAATCCTGACTGATCCGTTGGATGCGCACTACTGACGATGCCCAACAGGCTGAAACTGCAGTCTAGTGCATTTCCGGGCATGTGAACGACTATCTGATTTGGAAACTGGCTGCGAAGAACCTCACTTAATTACTATGTTTTGCCTAAGAAAGCAGATCGTGATTGAAGAGAAAGGTTAAATGGGAGGTCGAAGGACAAAGAAACTTACAATACAAATGCTATTAAAATCGGTTCCTAGCCATACCAACAACTGTATCCAGAGAAAGGTGCACATCGTATTTCCAGCACGAACTAGGCAGTGAGAAGGCGTGGCAAGCGAGTCCAACGTCGAAATGAGGGCTTTCAGTCCTCTTGACCAAGTTATTGCCTGGCCTCCCCTCCTTATCTTCCATCCACACCCCCAGCGAAAACAACGCATGTCGCAAGAGTTGGTGTTCTGACTGCTAAACACGTGGCTCATCACCGGAGCCTGGTTCGTGAAATAATGGTGCTGGGCGATTCACTTACTCTTCCTGTGCCATAAACAAGGTGCCGAACACGCTTATTGCTCACATGGTGTTCTAACCAGTTATCAGCCAAATTGTGAAAGCACCGGTGGTCGAACGTAACCAGCCTTTATACACTCGCCGATCGAATGAGCCACCCTTCATAACTGTACAGTAGGATCGAACGCACGACGGCATTGTAAACTCTAGTCTGTAGGGAGTGAGTAGAGTCGCGCCGGCGCCACAGGTGGCGTAGGTTAGGAAAACCACCTCGAACTCTTGCTATACGATTCGTAACATCATCTTCGGTTCCACAAGTTCTGATACAACTGCCTCGGTATTTGAATTTCTGAACGATTGCTAGCTGGTTCCCACCAAGGGTCATCACAGGAGGCGGTCCCCTTCCAATCTTGGTGGAAAGCTTTGCACGTTGAGTGTGCAAAACAAAGTCCGAAGAGGCTGATAGTGCTAACTTGACCAGAACAGCTTGGCATGTTTGCGAGTTGTCACAGATGAGGGCAATGTCGTCGGCATACTCCAAGTAAAGAAGTCGTTCACCTGACAGCAGTTCCACACGTTCGAAATCGTGTACAGTGAACGCGATTTCCATGACTTCGTCAATAACAAAGTTGAAGGGGAAACATGACAGCGGGCATCCGTCTTATACCGCTGGAGATATTGAAAGGCAGCGACAGCTTACCGTAAGAGTCCTCATTCTGCCTGAGCTACTGGGGTAAAGCATTCAAATGATATTTACATATTTATCTGACCCACCTTTCCTGAGTAGACAGTCCCAATGGACACATCGATCAACCGAATCGAAGGCATCTTTGATGACTACGACTACGGTGAATCGCCAATATATGTGACGGTGCCTTAACAAATGACGTAAGGTGAGGGTGTGATCGATATAGACTCAACCTCGAGGAAACGCGGCTTGCACTTCACGAATCTGGCTTTCACGGGTGCCAGTCAGTCTGTGAAGGAGTACAGAGGCAAGTAACTTGGAGTCGATGGTCAAATTGATTCCTCTATGGTTGCCAGTTTACGAACGTGAGTCACTTTTGAAGATCGGGACAGTAAAGGAGCAACTCCAGTCGGTTGGGACAGTTTCTTGCTCCCAAAGTTTCGCCAATAACTCGTGTAAGTCATCTACAAGAGCAGGTCCTCCAACATTAAAAAGAGTTAGAGAAAGACCACCTGGTCGCGCGGTTTTATTCAACTTCGGGGATTCGATGTCACGTTCGAACTCTGAGCGAGAGGAAGGGTCCAAAGGGACAACCGAGGGAGCGGGGTGATCACTGGCCGGTGAAGTCCAACGATTCCGGCCGATTAAATTGCCTTCCAAATTGCTCAGACCAACACTCCAAGTGTTCTGACAACTTTTAGATAGGCTGTCCAGTTGGTGGAGTCAACAAGGAGCTGAAAGATCAATTAGACTAGTAGTAGAGACTCACAACACATACCCTGATGACTAGCTAGGGGTCAAGCAATGCATGAAGACAACTGAAGCCCCAGATGTGGGGCAAACTGTCGCAGTGAAAATTACCTTAGCGAAGATGATAAGACTCGAAAAGAATGTCATAAAGCAAAGTACTTACATTTTATTGGTTTTGCAACACGAACGGCCTCCGGAGAAAGCCCGGTGCATTCACACAAATCCTTGTCCAGTGACCACGATCCAATAAAATGTTGCATTTTGACTAACTTCAACAGTGCTGTAGATTCTTGTAGTTGTTCACTTTCTGGTGCACCGAAAAGCGGTCCTCCACTGAGTGGCTGGGCAGTAGTACCGCAGCAGAACGCTAAAAAATGTATTTAGAGTGAAACAAAAGAAAAGAAAAACGTGCAGCCATCCTGAGATGAGGCACGGTGATTCCTATCTATTAGGGTAAACGCAAGCAAGTGGCCTCTTCGACCTGGTCAGATACAGAGCCTCGTAACGTAGGTGACCAACGCGTCACCGTGAGCGAGAAGAAGTGGCCAGAGATAAAATGTGTGATCAAAGAAAGCAGTTATTCATGGATGCAGAACAGAAACTGAATGAAGGATCATAACCCGATGGAGCTGTTTCAAGCCTGCCTTCAAACCACCCGTAATAAGTAGAGCAGAAATGCATAGAAAGTGAGGTTACGTACGATAGACTTATCAGGACGAGGTTAACAGTTCAGTCCTGTCCATTTTGTCACATTTGATCAATTCAAGATGTGGTGAATCCCGAGGCAATAAAATAATTCAGAAGAAATGAGAAACAGTAAAATCGCCAGGTGGAACAGCCCGGGGTTTCCAAATGAGGGAACATATACAAACACGTTGTGTGACTAAGTCATGTCCGATAATGTGTCCAATTACTGTGGTGGCCGGTACCGAACACCCCAATCGGAAAGATGATATGAGGCAGTCCTGCTCAACCCGTCGATGATTTGTCCATACTACTAACTGGCCACCTCGTTTCATCCAATTGGATACAATAGTGTTAGCAAGCAATGGACGCCGAGGAAATCGAATATCAGAAAAGAGAAGCAAATGACCAAAATAGTGGGGGCGGCCTGAGTTAAACAAGCGCTTTAATGAGGAGTCCAATGCTTGGTCGCTCGATTCACCCTTAGCGTAAGCGGACAAGTCGTGGCTCATAGATTAGAAATGACCGTGTAGCAGTGCTGTAAAGCAGTGCTGCTGCTCCCGTTTCCTTACGTGTCCGAAGCTTTGAAAGGTCACATGAGTCTTAGAAATGTGTGCAGCAACCTCCTCGATGATGAGATCACCAGCGATGAGATAGTCACCCAGATAAATCAAACAATTGATAACTTGTAGTGATTGTTCAGTGAGTTAGCCCAGTGGTGCGAAACCATATAGCACCTTATGGACGCGAAAATAGAAACGACCTCATGTAAAGCGCATGAATTGCGAGTACGGTTTAGGATATTTACCGAAAGGATGCAATGCAACAGAATGGAACAGGATGTGAAATATCTGGATGTGAAAGAGAAGCAACCTAAGAAGAATGATCATGGCGATGAGCTGTTCAGAAGTACATCGAGGTCAGCTGATTAAGCAGAATTAAAGTATCAACTTGTAGTAGAGCTGGATTCTATTAAGCGCGTTCTTCAGACAATGGAAGGAAGAAACATAAATCAAGTATGGTGGGAAAAACCTGGTGTCAATAAGGAGCTTAACGAAATATAATGTGTGGGTAGAAAGGTAAGCAGGAAGACAGGTGACTGTGAGGAAGAGCTAAGTACACAGCCTGTAAGAAGGTATTCGTAGAATGCGACCAAGGTGAAGCAATCAGTGACATGGGGCTTAGAGTTCAATGCAAATGGGCTGATTACTATCATGTACACACAAAAACGCGCATTTCAAACATGAACGACACTTTATGAGTACCGATGATCAACTAATACCGGTGAACTAATGTGCCCAATGCAAGGTGATCATGTCTTTGATCGAAACCATAATACCGATCGAATGCCAACATTGTACACATTTAGCTTAACAAATAAGGTCACTTTCCCCCAAGGGCGATCATGCTGAAGCATCATTGCAAGAAGTGACTTCAGCTCAAGCTTTAAGAAGCAACAACGAAACAATGGGTTATAACGAGTAGATAAAAGGCATGATTGAAAAATCCCGTAGATTGGTCATTTCGGGAATGGAAAATACGAAGAGTTTACATACGGAGAAAATAAAATGTGCATCAGTGAGAAGATGGAATAACGGTATATTAAACCTAGGGTAGTGGAAATGAGATAACCAAATGCAAACAATATAGCAAGTTATTAAAGCTAATGCTTATGGTAAAGAACACTTGGAGGACGCTTACAACTAATTTCCCTAACCTCTAACTATTGACATAGGTGGTATCAGAAAGTAATAAGACATTTGTAAACAGTCACAAGTTAACGTACCGTGAGGGAGCACAAGCCACCGCACCACGGTAAGGTTCAGTACCATCATATTCAGTCAACACATATGATATTATCATCTCTATAGAGTAACGAGATCGGGCAAAAAACTTTCACAAGTCACTGATTGATAACGAACTAATGGCCTCGCGCATTAGTCCCTCGAGTGGACCTGCGTCGTCTAAGTTAGATAAGCCACATTCTACGAATGCTTCGTGTGTGGCGCTCTAGTAAAAAACATTGGTGGATTGAAATGTGACAGTTCTCGAGCTACGGGTATTAGTAGCAGCTGCAGCAGCACAAACACGCTGCATTTGAGACGATCCAGCTGTGACGTTAGTGGGATTAGACCAAGTTCCGGTTGTTCGCCTCTTCGAGACATAACATTTCCTGAATCACACCAGTATATATGCATTCGTAAATTTGAGAGTGCTTTCCTCTCTGTATCGCCAAGATCTGCCGTTTTTCTAGTATATCAGTAGTAGTAAAAGGATTCGTCGAAAAAGATAAGGGTAGATAAATCCGTTCCGAATGACTGCGACTCTAACGTAAAATAAACAATGTGCATAACTGATCGGCTTCAACGAACGAAGCATCGGCCTTAGGTACTTTCAGCTGTTTAACTGTTGGTTTGGAGAGAACGCAACGAGCAGATACAACAAAAGCGGGCGAAATCAAACTGTCACTTCAAAAAATGCAAATGCCATCAAAATGGTGAATATGGAAGCGGTCAAACAAACTGCAACAAATAACTCCATAAACATAGAAAAAAGGAGGAGACCATTAATGCGCCATGAGTAAATGAAAATCGGGATGTCTGGTGGAACAAGTACTACTGAATCGACAGTATTGATAGCGTCAGGTGATACACAGAGCGACACAACGCGAAGTGCACACACGCGAAGAGAAAAAGAATGTGCGTCAACTGAAGTGCTAGGTTGATCACAAAAGTTGGTGGAACTAATGGACCTACGGGACACACTAATGTTGGTTGGTCACGCACACGTAGTGAGCGCACAACAGAACGCGAGAAGTGCAAAGTGACAACACCAGCGTATCCACAAGTCACACTGAATAAAAACTGTGCATGCGATATCTAACGACAGGTATGAGTGAATCAATGCAGTTGAGAGTGGTGAAAGAGCAGCAGGTTTAATGAAGCGAAACAACTACCATCCAGCCAGTAAACTGCGGTGGATCCAGTTGCCTCAATTCTCGTCACCAGCACAACAATAACCACTACCGGTGGGCGGGATCCAAAAAAGTGGAGCTAAAAAGTCATGAGTACGAAGAATCAAGAGTGAATGTCAATAGCCAGCTGCAAGAAAATGAACGCAGCACGCAGACTGCGCAGCGTGCCATGACCGCTGGAGTCTAAATCCGCCGACATGGCCTACTGCTAGGACCTCATTCACGAAGACTCCACGTGCCCGCTTGGTGAAGTAATACAGTGAAATTCTTCATTTGTTTATCCACGTTATCGGCTGGCCACATTGTAGTTTCGCCAAACTTAGCTCAGCGACGGCGATAAATGCATACCAAAGAAGCCAGTCTTCGGGCATACGGAGGACATGACGTAGCTGAAATAAGAAGTTAAGACCTCACAAAAACGCCAGTGAAGTACCAGGATCTTTTTGTCAAACACCAACTGGCTAACCAACATTGCTCACCCAGTGTTCTCAGCAGATGTGAGCAATACTCCACAAACACTAGGGATCAACGACCGACAGTCGCTCGATGTTTTCAGCGTGAAGTATTCATGTCTCTGACTTATACAGCAATCCTAGCCCTATTACAACATTATACCCTCCATCTGTGATTGAAACGCTGATACCTCACCGTCTCCCTAGATGAGAGAGCCTCTGAAAAGGCAAGAACGCATCTGATAAGTGAAGTAACCTACTCAACAATGTGACCACTAGAGGTGACACAAGTACCAAAATGCATGAACCGATCCCCAACTTCCAGTGGCAGTTAGACGATAGTTTGCACTAGTGAAAAAGCAGGATACAGGAAGAGCTTAGCTAAAAACAACTTACCCATCGGTGGAGCAGAAGGAGCAGGGAATGAGCGTTTAGCGAAAAGAGCTGGAAAACAAAAGACAGGCGAAAGTACCCAAGTAACCCCATGTAAAGTGTGAAGCGTCAGTAAAACAAACAAACAAAAACAAATAAAAGTAGAGTATGCACGCTGACATGAGCTCAAGTCACAACCATACGGCGACTTGCAAAAATAGGAAAACCTGCAAAAATGGATGCGTAGGCTATCCGGTTTGAGTGCGGTACTCTGTGGGGTTAGCCGACTGATCTGTTGCTAGGCCAGATTCTGCGGTGCAGTCGTGAGGAAGCTGAAGATAGCTGGATACATTGAAAAGTGGTACTCTACAGTTTGTGATCGAGTCGTCGCTTTTGCGTGGGATTAGCTTCCCCCAAAAGTAGCTCGATTTGTGTACATCCGCCAGCGATTGCATCTTGACGACATATCAGTGTTAAAAGAACACTGGTATACAAATGTATCACATGATGAAACCTAGAAAATGACCAGAAGGCACCATAGTGGTGCAAAATGACGGTGAGAGCTCCAAAGGAATATCTTCGTCAAAACTATCCCACTGCATCCCTGCATAATGCCCAACTACTGAGAGTGGTGCATGTGTGAGCATGCTGCATAGGTAAACATGACGCGTCCCTTTGTAGGCACCGTTTCTAGGCACCACAAGCAACGGACCATTTCTAAGTTACGCTATTCTATTCTGTGGATCGGTATTCACCAGATAATGCACCAAGTGTGATGCGAAGTGAGGTAAACATTGGAAAAAGAAGGGAACGAGCTGATGGCTGAACACAGAAAAAGTGTGAGAGTAAAGACGAGTGAAGTTCGACGGTTTCTGCAACTACACGAATGGTGAATAGTATGTTCAATGGAAGAGTCACAGTGCTTAAAAAACCAGAGTATGAAGGTAGTCTGATAAGCTTTTCAGGTGAAAGAACCATGAAATTTGTGCGGTTAGAGTTAATTCTATCGAGGGGAGTGGGGCGGATTGACAGCAGCACAAATGTTACGGTCTATGAGTAGTATCAGGGATAAAGAAAAAGACGCGCTATACATCACGATTAGCTAGTAAATCAGGGCGATCGGCTGTTGCCTTAATGGCTTTGTGGCATAAGTTGCTGACTGGTGATGCAAGTCACTATGTGGACTTGGATTCGGGGCTTGATGGATCATATGAATGTGCACTACTGATGAGTCCCGATAAGATGAACCGGCCGTATAGTGCTTCTCTGTGTATGCAGAGGACTATTTGACTTGGAAGCGGCTGCGGCAAACTCTCATAGTAAATATCTCAGCATAGTCAATTGTAAAAAAGCATTCCACCGCCTCACCGTCGAAAGAAACCCAATTCATCAAACAACCGCCACAAGTGGACGGTTCCCCCACGTATTCGGCATGTAAGCAGACCGGAGGAAGATAATGTCGAGGCGAACTTCCATCCGCTAAGCGGCATATGTTGGCAGCTTCCGTTCCACCAATAGTTCAAAGCGTAGGCAACGCACACGGAAAAAATTCACAAAGATTGTGGAGAGATTGACACTAGGCTCCTCCTAAGCGGACTGCGGAACTGACGTATTTCCGTCGATGAAGTCAATATTGTCAGCGGACTCTGAGTGGGAAAAATCCGTAGTGGGGATTATACTGAAGAACACTACACCGAGTGCTAAAAGACATGGTTTGAAGACTCCATCATCCAAAGTCATGGGATATATGGATGCTAGCATTCGCTTTTGCATTCGATCGTCACGATTACTGTGAACAGTGGTAATACACCAGTGCCCAGATGATCTAAGACTGGCCTGTGGCCAAATCATTCCCACCCCATCTCCACACACATAAGTCCATTTAAGTGCGAATGAAGGAGGCGTGTGACAGCGAGCTGCCTCATACTTCTTCAAAGTACATATCGTCTATGTGAAACTGCAGGAGGGGGACATGGGCAACTAACGTGCACGGGGAGTTAGCTGAGCCGTAATCCGTACCGTGATGGAACAACTTTATGAGTCCAACATTCTCACGAAGACCATGCGCCTGATCTCGCTGAGCTACAACTACCAGGTTCCGGGAGCCAGTAGCCGAGGTGGTGGCATTCGACATGTAGCCGCCGTCTCACAATTTGCGGCAAGCGAAGTCAAACTAGAGATATCAATCGATAAACGCTGCCAAACATGCTACAGTAACAGCCAACAAGTGGAATGCAACTGCAGCAGCGATGCAACACGCAAAATCTTCCGCATTATCGACCCGAGTTAAAAGATAAAAGCGGAATCGGTACACTTATGATGCTCTGATATCTACATATTTAACTTGTCCGTCACCACTTCGATTCAGACTCATCGTGACCACACACGGGTGCATGCGCTACAGTATAGGGCACATGGAATTGACGAGTTGGACTCCATCGGCAACTGTTGCTTATGTAACCGACATTTGCGAACACCATGCAACTGTCCTTTCTCGTGCGTCTGGGCGACAATTTTCTTCGTGCGATCACGTTATAGACGGCCAACCAGTGCTACTCCTTGATAATACCATACACCGGCCTATTACTCTAACCACTGGTTTATAGAAGTCATTATTTCATCGTGCTCACAATCCGCTTCAGGTCTGCAAAAATAGGTGTGCGCAAATTCACGAATCAACAGCTACATTAACAATAAGCTGACAACAGTGATAGGATATGACGGAAGAGATAAGGAAAGTTGTGGGATACAAAAATGAAAACTCGACGAACTGACGTATAATTAGAGCAAATGAAGGTAACGGACAGACAAACTGACTAAGAACTCCCCCCAGGCGTCCACCGACTGTCCCCGCGTCTGGTCGAGTTCGTGAGGAACGATCCAGATTTCCTCGAAGTCGAGGCTGTAAAGACCAAAGCTGCATATCAGGTCAGCCGTTGCAACACCGCCATATTTATTGGTGACCCATAGTAGTCGTGTACCTAAAGGTCAAAAAAGCTTTTGAACCCGTGGATCGATGAGCCATTCGGGTCTGGTTACTCAGGAAAGGTGTGCCCGATAAATATGTAAATGTCACAAGAGCACTGTATGCGCGAAGTTCGGGAAGAGTGCGAGTTTGTGACAAAGTGTCATCACTTTTCAATTTCTTCAGTGGTGGTTAAAAGATTGCCCACTGTCACTCGTAATTTGTAGCTTTGCCATAGTCGACGTCAGAATCCTCAGTTCACTGGGTACGACTCCCAGGTGACTGATTGACGAAAATGACAATTTGTGGCATCTAAACGCACCAAGCAGTAATGGACAGATTAGCATTGCCTGCCAAGAGTTTCGGACTATGCTCTGCAACCTCAAAATGTAAAGTCAGGCTGCAATATTGGTGCCCTGACCATTGGTGTTCATAAACGAGGTATGCAGTAATTTAAGTACCTAGGCAGCGACATTAGCGCCTGTGGGATAGATGAGATCACCAACCGCGTGAAAAAAGCTGGAGGCGCTTTTCTCAATCTCCCCTATCTGTGGCGCCGACGCGACATAACTCACGCAGTGAAAGGTAGACTCCACAATGTAGCTGTCTGTGCAACGCACTTGTACGGTCACAAAACCTGATTCCTCAGAGATAAAGAGGCAGGTTACGTTCGATCATCGCTACCTTGGCAGTCTAGCTCATGCCTGGTGGGAACATCGCGTGAGAAATGAGCGCGTTTGGCTCTTTGTGTTTGATTCAGGAAGAACGAGTGGATCGCTCAGCACAAATACTTCACACACCACCACTCCGACTGCCGCGAAGTACGTTGCTTGCGCGAGTGGGATCTGGATGGAAGATGAGGAGGGGAGACCAAGCGATGACTGGATTAAAAGGAGTGAAGCCTTGACTTTGAACTTGGTGCCGGTTGGTTTCTCCTAACTGGCGCGTTGATCACCGAAGGACGATAAACCCGTTTGGTTGCATACAAGTGTTGGGATGACGAAGAGCAGACCTCAAAGCCATTGGTGTCGTTAGTTCCCCTACCTGCTCTATACATTCACCCACTGACCCCAAAACTCACTTGACGCCTAATAATATGATACTAAGCAGCATTTTAGTTGTTTTTGACTTTTATTGTATATGCCGAAGTGATTATTACTTTGCCTTTTCATGTATCTTAACTTATTATGTTGCGACCCATTAATTTAGGTGTTTCTCATCTCTAGCTAAGGTGTAATAATAATGATGATGTTGACGGCTAGTTGGATGAAGAAACAGATGGGTACAAAGCTGGGCGACCGCATTTCGCACGGGCTGGTTTTTAATGATAGTAAAGGGGCCAAATCAACAAAGGCACTTGCATTCGTTTCTATGTGCGCTAAAATTGTCGAGCCTCCTGTCCACTCTTTGGGCTTCCATTTGGAGGCTAGTTTCTTTCACCTCACATTTTGATGATGATTAGGACTGCTAGTATTAACGGTAGTCATGTTGATGTCACTGTATGGTGAAGTGAGCCAATGCAGCTGGGTCCATTGCGTTTTGGCAAGCGGATAACCGTAGGTCAGCCAGATTGAACTGAAGGGGGCGGATAATGTAAACGTCTAGCACAATATCAGTCCCTATATTAAATATACTGCAATGGGTTTCCTGTTGCAAATCCTAAAGTAAAAGCAAGGAACCGAAAAGTGCAGAGAATGAAGCTGGAAGTTGATTTTTTCAATATCATGTGCTGGCGTACGCGAAATATCGGCTGTATACGGGTTAAAGGACGCTGTAAGCGAAAACAGGCACGGTTCATTGTGTCATTGATACCTCAAAGTAGCATGCCAACACTACTTGGGGCATGATAATCGAGTTTTGAACTGATATACCATTGGTAATCTGAAAGCATTAATGCAGGTATTGTGCTTCTTGGAAGAATCCTGATCATTAATAACAGCGAATGGTATCTAGGACATCGTATATTCAAACGGTAAAACGTTTAGTACGGGAGCTTGAAGTATAAAACGGCATGCCTCATACGAAAGACGTAGAAATACACGATTACACACCATTGTGCGCAAAGCCTCCCTTCATTTTCTTCCTCGTTCCTTCAAAAAATTCAAGGAAACAAAGATAAAATGGAGGCAAAAGTCATAAAATGATCCGGTTGATAACTGTCACATGCGGTTTAAAGTGGGGAGCAATGAAACTTTAGAAAGGAAAGAGGTTATCTGAAATGTCAGTGATGTCAAGTAGAGTGGGTCGCTCCGGATAAAACGTGGAGGTGAGCTGGCGAACACTACACGTTGGAGAAGGCCTCGCGCGAAGCAAAGCGAGAGTGAAGTGTTGGAGGGCAATGTTGAAACAGGACATGAGGAAAAAAGCAACCGATAAACAGTGCGACGAGGAGGAATGTGAACAACACAACCATGTGTTTGATAAAAAGTAATTGCCCTACGCTAAGCGATTAGTTGTACTGATGAGTTATAAGGATCACAGATGTGGCTGACACAAACGTTGGTAATACCATTGTTAGTGTTGATAACAGAAAACAAGCCATCGTCACTGCATTGCTCCATTTCGATATCGAATCCAAAGGATGATTGAGTGCCTTGAACCGAGCCCATGAGTGATTGAGGGTCCCCTAGCCGAAGTGAAATTCATATGGGTTGGTTAACATTGATAAGGAAATATAACCAATATGAGTACAAAACTGGTAGTTTGACTGAGACTGTCACGAACACCAAGAACATCGAAGTCGAACAAACGTTGTTCGGTCTCTGGTAAGACATCCACTAGGGCAAGTAAGTTGTCCAATAGAACCAAGCTATTCATATTTATGATCAAATAAAATAAAGACAAGAGTTACCGAAAAACGAATCCAGTAGGACCCGCCAACGCAGCGCACGGCGAACCAATCCATGAGTATGGCAGAAACTACGTAATCAGCATTTAACTCCGATTACCGATGGTCCTAATTAGAAGTGGCAAGCACGAGGATATAAGTAAATGGAATCAAGTATGAACAGATCAATGGCTAAATTCAGCCAATATGATGAGCTGCCACCTAATAAGATAATAAGTTCGAAGCAAAACCAACGATTGTTGTGACCCCACATATCGCAGGATGCATCCGTTTGACTGGATAAAATAGAAATAAACCTTGAGGCTTTATTCCACGTTCCAATAAGGCTTCCGCTTTCACCTATGCTGCCTTGTCGAGACGATCAATCTGTGAGCAGACATCTTTTCTTTACCACTGCTGAAACAACTCCGAAGAAAAATGATCACCCGCGTCAAACTCTAACTTTGGCAATTAAAGCTGAGATAACAGGGCTAAAAAGTTTGAACATCGACACGGTACTGGAAAACCGTAGCTGCCTGGATCTCTGGAGGCTGCCGTAACAAATCTGTGGCAAAGTACCATCGGTGGCACTGGAATAGTGAGTGTTGACAACCGCAATTCATGCTTTAGTTCCTCTCCTACATTAGCTCAGGCCCAGCTTCCCTATTTGATCAAGGTGATGTCAACAGAGAACTTAAAAAACTGAAGGAAAGAAAATTAGTGACCCTGATGGTTTAATACCTATGATTTTGAAGTGCGCCGACTCTCTCACATTGGCTTATATTTTTAACAAGTGTTTCACGATCGGTGTCATTCCCGACCCTTGGAGATAAGCAAGGATAAAGTCAACTCCTAAAAAGGAATCCCAAAAGTATCAGCCAACTGATTGTACTTCTATGCCTCTAAAAGTCCTCTAAAAGCCCCTAGTGCCGAGGACTTCCACGGCTACTCATGCCAATGATATCTACCAGTTCGCATTTAGACCCCCAGCGCTTTACGCTAGACACTGTCTCGTACCTTACGCATTCAATAGCCCTCGCGTTAGATACACAGTGCAGGTCCGCAAGGCTTCATTTTCATGACTACTCAAATGCCTTCGGGAGTCATGACCGATCTGTGCTGCTCAACCCACTTTATCTGAACGGAGTCCACCCTGGTGGTTGCAACTTGTTGTTTGATTAGATCATTGATCTTACGCACTTTGCTCAGTTGAACGGCAAAAGCTCCTCCATGCTCCTCGCTGAGTGTGGCGTTTTGCAAGGTGCGATCCTCTCCCCCTTTTATGCCTATCATATGTCGAAAATCTTCCCATACCATCAAGGTTCATCGGATGTAAATGTGCTGACGACGTCTTTGGGGGCAGATCTCCCTCCACTGAGATGTCAACGCTTCTATGTGGTTTAGATGAATTTGTGAGTTGGACATCATCCGGATCCCTTAACCTTAATGCTCTGAAATGTACTGATGTAACATATTTATTTCTTTGGCCTGATAAGTTAAGAGGAAATTTTGTATACCTCTTCATTATTAACTTTGAAAGATAAAACCATGCTTATTTCATCCACTGTCAAATATCTCGGTGTTTATCTGTTCAAAAAACCTCTCTTGGTCCACGCACGTTGTAAAAACATTTCACAAGGTCAGGAGGTTATCTTTTCATGCTTTTCGACTTTACCTCTCTATGCCGCGAAGTTTCATCTTTAGATTTGTAACCGCATGTATAGTACGCCACTGGTTGTATTGTTCCCCATTATTCTTCCCTGGATTACTGCAAAAGAACTTTTTGAATTGTGCTATCGATTAAACATATTTCCAGATGTAGTACCTAGCCTAGAGATTTCTTAGTAGATCTTCTTATCCGTAATCACTTTGACGGTTGCGTGAATTTTTTCTATAAAGTTCTAAGTGACTGATTGCATCCGCTACCATACCTACCTCCAATCCACATAGCCCAGCTTATTCATTGCGAACTCTAAGACACATTATTGGATAAAGTTGCGTCAGATGCCCCTAACTCTGAGATCACATAAATGATAGAAGCGATAACACTGCATATATCTTCGTCTGCAGAACAATTGACCATTGGATTGTTCTATCTTTCCCGGTTTAACCTTCTGTTAAGTAGGTTGCAAGTACAACAAGAACATACCTGGATCACTTACTTGACCGACTGGTAATCTACTCACTTCCCACAACACTGGATCACTGCGTATGAGCGATTCGCGGTGAAGAACGTAGAATTCAACGGTGTCTATCAACTGAGTTGCGCATAGGTCCAACCGAATCCAGACACGTTATACAGAGAAGATAGGGTCTATCAAGTTCACTTAGAAACTACGATGCATTTGATCCGCGGTCCAACACACTGGACAGTTAAATCCCTTATCTCCTCAGGTCATAGAATGTTCCAACAAGAGTATAGCAGCGATAAACAGGTTAGCAATATCTGGCAGTTGGATGTAATAATCTACATATGGTTTCGACTCAATGAACAAGACATAAGCAGATGGATTGGAGTGAGCAAAACTGAGCAATCATCATCATTCCTCACTACACACGTTAGCTAGAGGTGGAAAACAGCTTGGCAATATGTAAGAAATACACACAACAGAGGCACGCCACCTTAGCCACCAGTAATGGGTGGACAACTACCAGTAACGGATGAGCAAAACACAAATCCGTTTAAACCTGAAGCAAACGTGAACAGTTGATCTGCTCTGGAATGCAGTAACGAATGTGAACATAATGCTAGTACCCATGGCTAAATGATCGTTCCTAAACTTGGAAGAGTGTCGCGCATGTTGGGAGTATACCAACTCATTTATCTAACACCAGGAGGCAAGCTTTTACGGAACTGAAGACTAACCCATTGGAGGACAGGAGGCACCAAACAACATCGGTTGCGAGAAACCCACTAAAAAGCAGAAACAATGTTAGTAAAAGCGTTCCAATGCAGGACAATGGAAAGTACACGAAAATTATGACGAGAATAAGTGGAACGCAGCCCGCTAGAGTGAATAAG